CTGGCCGCTCATGCTGGCTGCTGGCTACATACGGTAGCCCATGGCAACCCACTGCCACAGGGGCTGCAGCCTACGCCGTCGCCGGCGACTCATAGCATCCCAGCTCCAGGTTGAGCTGTTGTTCAGCATCTTAGCTGTAGAGGGCAGTGTCACTGGCCCTCATATGTGGATCCAAACCAGGGCCCTCTGGCGTCCCAAGCCAGCTCTTAACCAACGTGCCACTTGGCCGGCCCTTGAGGTTTCTTCTGATCTTTTACTTTGGAATTGTTTCTTTGTTTCTTCATTCTGGCTGTCACTCTGATTGCTTCAATGTATTACATCACCTAGAAAGACAAAAATAAATAAATAAATAAAAGAAAGAAATAAAAAGGAAAAGATAAAAACGGGGAAAAAAAGGAAAAAGAAAAAAAAAGAAAAACAAAAGGGGGAGAGGGGCTCTCTGCCCGCTTTAATCTGTAGACCACTTGCTCAGCAATAGAGATTCTGGGCGACTCAGCACCAGCTGTTGGGGGGAAGGGCTCAGTGTGTCATGCGCCGACTTCCCTCTAGATTTGAAGTAAGCTTCCCACAATAGGTGCTGTGTGCTTTGGAACCGTGCTCACCACCAAAAGTCCTCACAGGTTGTTGCGGGCTGTCTGCTGCTGCAAAAAAACCTCTGTGGCCTGCGGAGGTAGGAGCCAGCGACCAGGGCCTCAGGGTGCCCCTGGCAACACAGCTCTAGGTGGGCAGGGCAGGCCCCCAAGGCACCCAAGTATGTGGTCTGTGGCGCCCACCAAGTCAGAGCAGCATGCACTCCTGCACCGGCAGCCAACCCACACAAACTCGCCAGGAAAGCCCTGGCCGAATCATGCAGGCGCACAGCTCGCGACTCTACACTCCCAGGAAAACTCCCTGTCTCAGCCTTTCCCAATCAACTGTTTGAAGATCAGGCTGAGCAGCCCGACAGCCAATCGCCACCCAGACAACTCTGCACGCACAGTGCAGAAATTGGGGACCTAAGGCAAGTTGCACACTCCTGGGTCTCAATAAGCAGTCTGTTGGAGTTGGAGCTTGCCTGCCAGGAGTTTCCTTGGCTACGCAACACAAGCGGTGTGGAGGGTGGGGATCCAAGGCCGCATGTGCACGCACACGCACTCCTGCACCAGTTCCAGCAGACCAATGCGGTCCCGGACCTGAGCCTCTGTGGGAGGGTCCAGCCCTGAAAAAATGGCACCCTCCTGTGCAGTACTCATGTGCAAGCTCCACACCAGGGGAACAATGGTCCCAAAACCTCCAGCTCACGCACCAAAGTTCAGTCCTTCCCGCAGGCTCCTGGGCCCCGCTCACACAGCTACTCCCTCCACCAGGAACTGGGTGAGTGCTCACCAGCAAGCGAGTCAGTTTTCTGGCTCCACTGTTCCTCCATCCGCCCTCAGCCTCACCGAGTTGAGCAAAGAGGGTCCCCACTATTTTCTACTTCCAGCTATCGTAGAACTGTTCTTCCCAGCAAAGTAACTCTGGGCTGGTGAGCTTGGTGTGGGGCCGGAGGGTCTCTCCCCCAACTGGAGAAGACTCCCCACCGCTGAGGTGTCCCTCACGGGGTTCGCCCTCTCTTGTCTCCACCCCTCCTACCGGACTTGACGTGGCCTCCTCTTTAAGTCCTTCGTTTAGAGGTTCTGCTCATCTAAGTTCCAGGGAACTTCCGAAGTTGAATATTTTATAAATTGTTTGTAATTTTGGTGTGATCCTGGGAGGCAGTCGGCACAGCGTCTTTCTATTCCACCATTTTACCGGAAGTGTGATGTTTTTTGATTTATCAAAAAAATAATATGTCTGTTGCCAAAAATAAAGGAAAGTGTAAGGAAAAATTAACTACTCATGATCACAATACCCAGCAGTGATGATTGCACATGTTTTGGTGTTGTTTTCCAGTTTGCTTTTCTGTTTCTCTGAATGTGTGTGCACACATACCCACTGATGTATACACGTGATAAGTAAGCTTTTATGGAAATCTTTATATATACTCATCTATGATTGTTTTTTTGGAGAAATTCCTAGAAATGGTATTATTAGTTCACAACAAGGTATTTCCTACATGTTGGTGTGTAAGGTTAGCCCAAGATTTTCTGGTCTTCGCAATGAAAGCTCTGTGTCCTGGGGTAAACTGGGACAGTTGGTCACCCTATTTGAGTGAATACTTATATTCACCCTCCATCGTCCTATATTGTGTAGGAAAGTGTATGACTGATAGTCAGTCACTGAATTTATTTGTTGGAGGCCCTCTGTCTTTTCATCTCCCACCATCAGTATGCCATCTTTGTCTCTGGCAGCCACAGAGAATTTGTTGCCACTTTTGAACTTGAGCCTGGGATTAAGATGCGTTCAGTTGTTTGTGTACAAACAGCAAGCGAGTCATTGTGCTCGGATGAAGGTCATTCTCCAGGCTCACTGAGCAATCTCAATTCTCTCCATTTGTCTGGATACATAAAACATTTCACAATTAGAATTATTGTGTAAACAGCAGAGTGATACTTCATGTAACTGAGCAAGCAGATTACATTGTGGTGTTCGTACATGGAGGTGAACAATTAAGGTCTTAGTTATATTTGTTCAGGATCTTGGGTGTTTAACGCATCAGGAGAAAACAAAGTCATGGATTAAAGTGGATAGAGAGAGAGACAATGCACGTGAAGAAACACAACTCACTGGAGGAATTTTCCAGGTCTTTTGCAATAACTGCTAACAATATAAGCCTTTTTAAAAATTGTTAATTCTCTCCCAATTTTTTTACCCTATTAGGGATCAGGGCACTATATCCATATTGTACATGTTACATTAAAATTAAAATGAGTCCACCAAGCAAGTCCTGGGACCAAAGTTAATATCACTGGCTTTAATTAATGTAACCTAAGATCAGCTGCCAAATTTATTACCTAATACCTAAACTTTTCTAGGATCTAAGAAAAATATTTTATATAGAAAAAATATGGATGTATAAATATAAAAAATCCCCAAATACCCTAAATAACTTTGAGGACACTCTAAGCAGAGAGGCTGTTAATAGGGCTTAATTCTAAACCTAGATCACCGGGGTGATTGAAACCACAAGTCTCTTGAAAGAGACATCAAACACCTGGTTACATAGTGGGGGTAAATGACACAAAACTCCAAACCAGCAGTATCTGCCCTGATATTTTAGACCCAAAGTGTTGTCAGAAGTACATACTTTCTCTGCATGGGGTTAAACTTAATCAAGGGACAAGTGATTAAAATGTCTTCCTAGGAATACTTATTTTAAAAAAAAAGTGGGAAAGCACAAATCCAAAAATATTATCCATTTAACTAAAACAAAGACTGTGGTTTGATGTGGCCTCCTGCCTGACTGTACCAGATCTCCAGACCCAGGTGGCATCCTGATTTAACCTGTTTATTCCGCATTCTGATTCCAACCTCTTTCCTTATTCATTCAATAAATAGTCATTTACATCAAAATATGAATCAGACACTGCCCTATCACAAGGGATATAACAAAGAGGCAGACAGACACAGTCCCTGCCCTTGGGGAACCTATATGCTGGTGGGGGAAGACATAAAATAAGTGTGTAAGCACAGAAGATCACAAGACAGCAGACAGCACGGAGTAATGTAAAACAATTAAACAGGGTGACATGATGGGGAACAACTGGGTGGGGAGACATTCCCTTTAGATTGGCAGGTCAGGAAACCCATCCCTATGGAGGTGCTATTAGAATTGAAACTTTAGTGTTGAGGATCCAATCCCCTGAAGATCAAACAGAAGAGCAATTTAAGGAGGAGAAAAGAGCAAGTTTAAAGTCCCGGAGATGGGAATAGCTTGTGATGTTCAAGGGACAAAAAGGAGAACACTGTGGCTAGAGTATATGAGGAGGGGAAAGTAATCAGAGAGAGAGACAGGATCATATCAGGTAGAGGCTTGTTGGCAATGAAAGGACTTAAAGGGCTTTGGATTTGATGTGAAAGGCCACGGGATTCATCAGAAAGTGGTAAACAAAGGACGGCCGCCATGCCAGTTATTAGGTGGGCTAAGGATTGGAGGGAGAAGCAGGGCACTAAATAGCTTTGTCATATTCTAATTCAAAGTTGAGCGATGACTTTCTGGTGTTTAACTATTATGCTTCAGAAATTACATTTATGGGCATGCTATTTGTCAATAAAAAGGCATGAAGTACCGATGCATGCTGCAATACTGATAAGCCTCAAAAACGTTACATGTAAAAGAAGCACAATGCCAAGGACCACCATATTACATGATCTCATTTATGTGAATGTCCAGGAAAGGCAAATCTATGGAGATGGAAAGTAGACTAGTGGTTGCCTAAGGTTGCAGAACGGAGTAGCTGCAAAATGGCACAAAGGCTCTTTTGGGGATGATGGTTATATTCTAAACTTGGATTTTAGCTGTTGTTGTGCAGTGTTGTAAATTTATTTAAAATCATTGAATTGTACACTTAAAGGAAATGAATTTCATGGTATATAAATTATACCTCAATAAAGCTGCCATTTTAAAAAATTATCAGGGAAATAATTTCATCCATGTTTTTTAAAAAGAACAGGGAGTCAAGGGCCCGCCAAGTGGCTCACTTGGTTAAGAATTTGCTTAAGAGCATGAGCTCTGAGCAACAGGGTCGCTGGTTCGATTCCCACATGGGCCAGTGAGCTTCGCCAGAGCTGTGCCCAAGCTGAGCTGCCGCTAAGCTGCCCACAGGTGGCAGGATGGCTCAGCTGGTGAGAGCACATGCTCCTAATTACAAGATTGCCTGTTCAATGGTGGGCTACACCCACCCGCGGCTGGGATTGAACTCGGCACCTTGAGCTGAGCTGCCGCTCAGATGGCTCAGTGGATAGAGCGTGTGCTCTTAACAGCAAGGTTACTGGTTCGACTCCTGCATGAAGAAAAAAAAAAAGAGCAGGGAGTCTAGTATGGAGGTTATTGTAGCCATCCAAGCAGAGGTGATGGTGTCTTAGACTTTATTGACAAAGAAGAAAAATAGGTATGGAGAATGATGCAAAACAGGCTCATGGTTGATTTTGTGTGAGTGTGTGTGTGTGTGTGTGTGTGTGTGTGTGTGTGTGTGTGTGTGTAAGTAGCGGGGGTGAGAGAGGAATCCAGAGTAGCATCTAGGTTTGGGATTTGAGCAGATAGTTGAGCTGCTATTTCCTAAGTTGCCGTACGAAGCATGCGGCTAGTGGTTAGTTGCTAAATTTTTGTTTCATCTTGCATCTTTAATTTTTGTGTGTCTGAGATTTTTTAATTTGCTTTATGATACAATTTAGTGCATATTGTAAAACATTAAAGGTGGGCATAACGTTCTTTTTTAAAAATTATAGTTGACATTAAATACCAGGGGTGCCAAAAAAATGTATACAAGTGGACACTTCAGTCAACGTTGCTCAAGCAGTAGTTCGCCATAATCAGAAGTGTCTGGACGCTGATGGTAACCACTTTGAGCACCTCTTGTAATTGCAGAAGTCAAACATGACTTGTATTCATCTTTTGTTATTGGTATATATTGAGTATGATAATTTTAATACAACTTTCCTTTCTTAAAGTGTGTATACATTTTTTTGGCACTCTCTGTATTATTTTAATTTTGTTTCAGGTGTACAACATAGTGGTTAGATATTTATATAATTAATGAAGTGATCCCCCTGATAAGTTAGTACTCACCAGGCATCATGGAGAAAAGGGAGCTGTCCTGAACTGTTGGTGGGATTGTAAATTAGTTACTAAGTTTTGCACACAAAAAACACAGAAGATTCAGAGATGTCCCTATATTAAGATCTCCCTAATTCTCTTGAGCTTTTGTATGCTTTTTCTGAGTCTAGAAGAAAATGATTGCTTGATGTTCTACTCTGCAGCCTGCCACGTCTATGTCATGCCCCCATCCCCACCATCCTCCCCAAGAGTGACTGCAGCTTAGGCAGTGTTCTCTGTTGCAGCAGGAACTGGTTCCATGCCTTACCTCTGGTCACGTCAGGGCAAGTTTCTCTCCAACCTAGTTATGCCCATGGGAGCGAGTCACACAGCACAGCACGGTCCCAACTGGTTTCTTCCTCATTTGTAAATCTGAAGAGAGAAGGAGGGACACTCTACTTCACCTACAATAAAGACCTAAATATTTAGATATTATTAGCATGAGATATTGTACCTACAAAAACTACCTCAGGGCAAGGAATGATCAACTGATTTCTGAACACATTGCTTACCTGGGGCTTCTCAATTCGAATTTCACATGACAGTTTGAGACTGAATATATTTTAAACCTCAAATAACAATGGCTTTTTAAGGATGGGGAGAATTCTATTTCTTCCCACTGGTTTTTAAAGCACTGATGGTGACAGTCCAGATGAGGGGAGAGGGGAATACATAAGTGTGTACTTCAGTGATCTTCCATGATCAAAGCTAAATTACTAAAAAGCACACAGATTAGAGTCTCCTGACTTTATAGATTGCTTAAACAATAGCTTAAATGGTGAACATAGTCATGTGTATATATACATTTTTTAATTCCATATCACCATATGATTTAAAAGAAAAACATCAGATAATGGTTTGTTTTAAAGATCCTTAGATTATCCTGAGAGCATTGCTCTGTTTAGTAATTTCTATAGTTGCAACATCAATATAGTTGAGGTCTTTTAAATCCCTTGGTTGGAAAATTTTCCGTTCAGTAAACAGGCCATAAAGTAGGTCTTATTTGCTTTCTAACAAATAAAGTAGAACAGCTTGCCCATGGGGATTTAAATCATAATTTACATTTAGGTTTATTTTTATAGACAGGCCATAAGCACAATTTGCAAAGCTGGATAAAACCAAGGCACTAGAAAATTAAAAAGAGAGATTTATTATTTTCCTCTTAAAATGGAGCTCAGTTGTAATTTAAAACTAACTGCTTTAATTATATAGAATAATTGGATTAGGCAGACGTTTGCATAGTTTGTCACAATCAGAATGTGACAGTTAATGTTTGCTGTTCTGTTCTTTTGAATGTACACACACACACACACACACACACAACTGGAAAGTAAAATGTAACATGGAAATGATTCAGAGGAATTAAAGACTTAACATTATGTAAGAATAAGTCCTTATATATACATATTAATGATGAATTTTCATAGAAAAATCTAGTTCAAATATGGCTTTGAGAAGAATTAGGACATATATCTATTTGTCAATCACCCTCCCTTTTGCAAATCCAAGATATCTTTCACATTAACTGCAGTTAAATGTACAGTGTATAGCACTAGCTACATCTTTCTAAAACTTTAGTCACTCCTGACCACCCTCACACCATACCCGCATACCACCGGTAGTATTGTTTGTTTATTTTTCTTTAAAGCTACTTCCATTTTTAAACTTAGATTTTAAAGGGATTTTTTTCTGCCTGATGGTAAATAGAGATTAGCCATAAAAACAACTTCAGTGAAAATAAAACAATGTTAGTAAGTTCTAGGTGGATTCTGTTCCTTCAAAAGGAGACTCCAAATGTCAACAAACTGTCCTCTCTCTTTAAAATGAAAGAGGAGGCGCAAATTTAAGACATTCCTCTGCCACCCTGAGACTTTTTCCTCGAGGTAATCAGAAGGAATGGAAGATAACGGTTGTCTTCCATGGCCATTTGGTGCCCCATCTCTGTGCCACCTAAAATCATCTCCAGAATATCACATCTGCATTTTGAGAATCAGAACGCTCAGTCTCTGTTCATTAAATTGTTTAACTATACTCTGAATTTCTCTGTTTTGCATTCATCCTAGAACATTCCATAGTTTCTTTTCTGCTCAATAAATCTTTCCATGCCAGCTTGCAAAGTGAAGTGAATGAGAAACAGTTAATTAGTGATATTGTTGAATGCAGACAGCCATTAGACGAAAGAAAACATTTTTCTCCGTAGCTGGCTTTGTCTCCTGAATTATCAGAGTAAAATATCAAATGAAGTGTCAATTCTTGATGGGAAAAACCAAAGAAAGCCCCAAAGAGAAGGAAACATTTGAAGTTGGTCCCACTTTTCTCTGAATTTTATTTTTAAATACATCAACATTTTGTTACAGCCTTAAAATAGGTAAGATGACAATTATGGAAGAAGTCCCCAGGCCACAAAGAAATACAATGAATAATTCTTAATTTGATAGATTTCAATTGAGTATCTACAGTGTGTAAAACACTACTAGGTGCCAAAGATGAGGAAATGAAAAGCCGAGACCGTGCCCTCAGGAGGCATGCACACTCACAGGGCAGGCGTGTACATTAATAGTGAATATGAAATAGAAAGATTTCCTTCTGAGAACTGCATGTTCCTTCTTGTTGGGAAAATGAAAGAATGCTCCTGGGGGCAATGGCTTTTGAAATGGCCCTTGAATTTGGCTATGAAGGGCTTGCAAGTGCAGGGTTGGTAGGAAGGGCATTCCAGCAAAAGGAAGCTGTGTCCACCAATGCCTACAGTCTCAGAGGTGCAGGACTGGGTGAGGAACATAGGTTCTAAAAAGGTATAAAAAAGGGAAGAGAAAAGAATAAAATCTATAAATATAGGCTGAGCAAAGGCAAAAAAGAAAGAGCCTTGAAAATTGAACAAAGGGGACAGAACTTAAAGAAACCAGAACAACTTTTTTTAGAAGGGACAACATGAATACTGGAGAAAGAATACTCATGAATGGCCATGAATGTGACCCAGCTCCAGCGGTTACCTGTTTCTAGTCTCCTCCATTCTAAGTATCAAATTCTGGAATGAGGAAATTGGATGGGCTCAGCCTGGTTCAGGTGCTCATCCCTGGACTGGTCAGCTATGGCCAAGAGGGCGAGTTCATATACCACAGACATAGCTACTGGAGGCCACACCCGTGTGTGGAGAGGGAGCCAGAAAGACGCATCCTGAGCTAGACACTCGTGCACACCTACCTCAGAACAATTCTGTGAAGTAGGGATTTCCATCCCCATTTACAGATGAGAAAAAGTGAGGCTCAGTCCATTCAGGTAACTTACCCTATGAAATGGGAACTTGAAAATACAAAGAAGTTGAACAAACCTGTCTGGGAATTTCCAAAGTCTCAGTAAAGCAAGAACTATGTTCATCTGAAAAGATATGGGCAACTTTATCTCCCAACAAGAGATTTTTTTCTTTTTAAGGGACTCTTTAAGAGGCTGACGAAGTTTTGGAATAGTTACCTTTCAAAAAAACGTATTACCAGCCCTGGTTTAAAGGATTCTTTGCACAGCTGTGTACTTAGCCGAGAATAAGTCATTTGCATTTTTGGATTCTGTTTTTGATGGCAGATGAGTGGCCTGATGCAATTCTCAAACAGCTGGAGCTGGGAAGCGTGTGCAAATACACTGGGGTGGGGATAGGAAGGAAGAACGGGAAGCACAGAGAGTTTCAGAGACCAAACATTTCATCCTCCCCGAACAGCCATGGCAGCCAATCACTTCCATGCTGTGAATCTCTTAGAAGTACCTAAAATTTTCATACCACTAGATGAAGGTGAAAGATTTGAGGCCAGCATGTCTCAACCTCACCACTATTACCATTTGGGGCCAGTTAATGCTTGTCCTGTGCATTGTAGGATGTTTAGCAGCCTCCCTGGGTTCTAAATAGTTCTAAAGGGTTCTTAAAATTTACCAAAAGAAGAAGCAAAGAGAACAAAGTCTATAAATATAAGCAGAGTAGATAGATGCCAATAGCATCCCTACCCCTGGTTGTGACAACCAAAAAAAAATGTCAACAGACATTGTGGAATGTCCCTGGAAGGAGAAGGCAAAGCCACTCCCAGTT